TTGTATATATATATATATATATATATATATATATATATATATATTAGAATAACACACACAGCTTGAAACTTCCATAAGCAACATTAATTCATTCGTGGAAATATATTTTTAAGCTGGTTCATAAGGTTCATTGAGGAAAAAACAATTTAATGCTATTTCTAGCTTATTGGATATTTCTACAGATGAACTTAATCTATTATGTAAATGGGGATATATGTTATGGAAAACAATATAAAATAGAACTTTGTCTAGAAAATTGTTGTTTTTTTTTGGGGGGGGTAGAAATACAACAGCATTATTCTGCCACCACCAGTACATTTCCTGCATATTTAACACATGCTCCGTTATTCTACCACCACCAGTACATTTCCTGCATATTTAACACATGCTCCATTATTCTGCCACCACCAGTACATTTCCTGCATATTTAACACATGCTCCATTATTCTGGATTCCACTACCAGCTTTCTTTCATTGCTTATGAAAGTTACCTTACTTATGCTACAAGCCTTAAAATTCACTTTCAATGATGATGATATAACAGTAATTTCTGAACAAATAATTACAATGTATCATACCAGAAAAACTTTATAACCAAAACAACAAAAGATACACAAATTAAACTAGTTCTCCTAATCAGGAGTATGGGTTTTTTTTAAAAACTCTCTGTCCAAGAGAAAACATGCTAGAAAATTCCACTTGTCCTACATAAAGATCTAGTTGCTCCCTCATAATCCCACGAAAAAGTAAATATAATTTTTTTTAGAATTTCATTTTTATCTAACAATGAAAATTACAATACAAATTCTGAGATTCATATATTAAGAAAGCAAAATAAAATGCAGTAAAGATCCACTGTTTGCATAATTTCTAAAAATCTAAATCTTTGATAATTATAATAATATCTACATCAAACGAATCATTTTTATACACAAATAAAGATACTGTAAGCAGATGCAGTATTTTTATAAGTTAATAAAATGACAAAACATAAAAGTTTTTAAATAATGTCTGATTCACATGACTTGACACAATAATTTTTTTTTAATAGTGCAAAATGGATAAGTTCATGCGAATAATTGTATTTCAATTATACATGTATATATATGAAGAGCTTAGATGTAAAATGCTGTATATTAAATTTTTCCATTTTGAGAAAATCTGCTTTGTTTGCTGCAACTTTCACAATAAACATTTTATTAAATCAAAAAGTGGAAAATTTATTAAATAAAACCATTATAAATTATGATAAGGAAACCCAAAAAAATCTAACTATTACTTCTTTCAAATTTTAGAAAATTTGCCTTATTTTTGAAAAAAATGTTTTATACCCATTGGTCCTTTTAGTCAAAAATGCTGAGTATCTATTAATATAATGCTGGTGATAGATCAATCTTGTTAGGTATGTCTTATACCACATTTATATGTGATATTTGGCATTTAGTATAAGGATTTTACAGTACATCATGTAGAATATCCCCCATTCAAGAACGGAAAAAGAAATGATTTACATGAATGCTGGCATGAATGAAAAAGAGCTGTCAGTTGGGAACTTACTGCAGATAAAAGCAATGTAGTAATATCTTTGCATTAACTTAAATAGTTTTGTTACTGTGGGTTGGTGAATTGAATGGATATGTATATTGGTGTATAATTTTAGTTTCTGGTTTAGAATCACGCAGTTGAATGTTTGTGTTCATGTAGTTCACAATTTTCAGGAACTTGCATGCCTCCCTAGAAACCTACCTGGAGTGTTTTTCTAGCAACAGAAAAAACAATAAGAAAAAAAATAAACAACAACAAACTTGTCCAATAGTATAACGGTAAAATATGTTATCCTGAGCTTCATAAGTGATATAAATTCCACATCCCTGCTTATATATCTGATAATCAATATGTTAATACACTGTTACAAAGTACTACAGGTTTCTTTACAAGATTGTTAGCACAAAATGTAGAGCAGATACATGTATTTTCGTGTAACTACAAAAAAATAAACAAAGACTGATGGGAAAGATTTTTTTTAGTTACATAATGATGTGACATATAAAATAACTTTTAATTCTTAACTTGCATACCTTAAGTTTCATTGAACCAATAATTTGTAAGTTACCACTAAAAGAAAAGTACAGTGCTCTAAATCAAAACATGATTGAATCAATAGGGGTGGAAGTGGGGCACAGATACATTTTAAAGACCCTAACTCTGGATAGCTCAAATGTTATAATTTTTCACTTAATAGTTAACTATTTGATGTACTAGTTCACAGAATGGGAAAACATCTGGGGGGTTCCTTGGTGGGTGACATAGAAGGGGAAGATCTGAATGCCGACTCTTACCCTTGGGGGTGGGAGGCTAAATGTACAAAGACTTTTTTTCCAAATAATAATTTATACATTATTACAGATAATAAAATATGGAGTAAAATTAATAGTGGAAAGTGAGCTACAACCTTAACTGTCAGACATTCCTCTCAGCTCTTAAAGACCTTATTCAATACATTGTTTTGTTTAGACAAATCAAAGTTTACTTTACCTGTAAGGGAGTGAATTCACACTGATATGGACTGAAACTGGCCATGTAGTTCCAAGTGTCATCACCAATATCATAGTCAATATCCACCTAATTGTAATTATTGTACAAAATAATAAAAATCAACACAATTTACAAGATCTGGTATCTTATTCTCCAAAACAAGTTATTTTACTTAAACCTTATTAGGCTTATTACCAATATGAATTAGCTTAATACATAAAATACGCACAACTTGTATATAAATGTATAGTATTGGTAGAAAATCTGGGTACAAAGTAAAAACACTCAGATTTTCTCACACGTTACCAAAATGAAGTGCTGTTTAGGTTTACATATTTATGTCTATATATATCTATCATTAGATCTAACAGATTACTTTTAGGATTGGGCAGCACAACTTCAAACCAGCAGAGGGCCAGACTGTAAGTTAACAATCCACTTGTGGGTCATAATGCTAATTAACAATCTAGAATCCTAGATCGTACCATTCACCTAAATGCCAGAACATATAATATCTGTCTACCATATGTTTAAAGCTAAGTAATAAACAATGTATTGCACAAACAGTAACTTACCTCCTCAAAATGTGAAATAAGTGAAATTTTTATTTTACAAAATTCAATTTTAAATGCAGATATTTCCAGTGACCCACAGACCACCAACCAGTTGGACAGATGTCACTAGAGACTATCATCCTATATTTCCTTCCATTTTGTTTATTTGTATAATCCTTAGCAAGTTTGGAATGCTTGATCACTTTCAAACATGAAATATTTAGGGATTTGTGGCAATACTTTTTCCACATACAACTGTAAAGAAAACTTTCTTCCAACATTTCTTCTACTAATTCTAACTTCACACATATCTTGCAGTTCTGCCTTTATTTCTGGGTATTTTTTTAAAAACTGATTTGATATTGAAATTCATCAAACGATACTATTCTCCCATCTAAACTAATAGCTGCAGCAAAATGCTCTAATGTTCTTTGAACTGTACCTTCAATACACTTTTAAGCACTACACTGTTGAGGTTTCTTTTTTAACATGTACAGCAGTAACTTGTGCTTTGATTCTTCACTGTTTAATTATAACTTAATTTTCCTACTTTTCTTAGTTTCAGCCAGGTTGAAACTTGTAGTCTTTGGATAATGTTGACATTTAACTGTTAATGTACTGCAATTAATCTAAATGAAACAAGAGTGTTGATGATTTAATGATATAATCAGATTTATCCGACTTAACAGTTATAGCCATTTGGTGTGGCAAGCAAATTTACCCCATGGTATCACAAAAACTTTTCGTCATAGTGCGACAATCGGGATAGTCACACATCCTTGAATTTCTCACCTTAGTACTGCATGTGCAAACATCACCTAGCAAAAGTGCAACTAGTGGATTTTGATATTGAAAGAGTACTAAAAAGGTCAAATTCTAAATTTCATTTTGAAGTGGATAATTCAAACTTTTCGAGAAGCCACCTGAAATTTAATTATTCACTCAAAGGGCTAAAATTAATGTAAGAAATAAATGTATCATTATAAAAATATGTGTCTCTAAATCAAACCCACTGAATCCATAAATAATTATGTCCAGTACAAATTCATTGTGATAACATCTATGAATTAAAATATTATGGTAATTATTATCATCATAAATCAACATAAGGATATTACACAGTGACACAGCACAAGGAGGATAAAAAATATTTTGTCAACAGTGGTTCTACTTGTAGGACTTTAAGTCAAAATTACTTTTTCTTCTACTCAGCTTTATGATTTGTTCTGTATTTGTTGATACAGAGAAAGCAGTGGAAGAATGATGGAAAAATAAAACCCTTTAAAGTCAGTGGAAATTTGTAATGCAGATGATAATAACTTACATACGACTGTGATGAGATGTTTGAATGGAATATAATCTTAACTAAGTATGAAGTTATACTTTGTTTCTATGCAGCTCATTTATCCAACATGCTAGTTTCAAATACTAAATTGAATTTTTTTTTATAAAACCTAACAGAAATTAACATATTCCTTACCTGAAAATGTATTTCTGATAGGTATTCACCTCTATGCACAGATTAGCTTCAAGTCATGCTATTCTGCATTAGAGATTTGCATGCCACCAGTCCTATGAAACTCCGACCTAAAATTCATATGCATTTGTGCTACTGCGTGATGTATCATGCAGCAAAACCCTCCACCAATAGGGGTGCAACACGTCTACTTGTGTAAATGCTCCTTGTACATTCACATGCAAAAATCCTCATTCTTTAATAAGGCAAACAATAAAAGTGGGGAGGAAGGGTGGGAATGTGCACAGAGGTGTGAATATCTAATGGAAATACATTTTCAGGTAATAAAAATGTTAACTTCCAATGTGATGACTCACCTCTGTGTACAGATTAGCTAGAACTCCACATTGAGAGTACTAAAAGGAAGCCCATTGGTTGTGACATCTTAAGGCAGGGGCTCCATAGGGGCATGCTTGTGGAAGACTGCATCTCATCTCAAACAGGGTACACCCTTTGCCTGATTGAAGGATAAAAAGAGGTGAAAAGCCTGAAAGGTACCGTAAAGTTGGGCGGAATAGGTACATGACTGTCTGAGAGATTGCATACAAGCTGTTGGAAGTTGGAACACCAATCAGTGTAGTAAGGTTGAACCATGTTCAGACTGTACCAAGTATGCTCACCTCCTTAACCATTAGTCTTTATGGGTCAATACCAGCTACGGGAAAATGGCACATACAAAAAGTATCTGTACACAGCTCCTCCACTAAGGGCCCAAGCTAGTTGTGGGAGGATGGAACCACAGTGGATACAAAATAAGGTATAATTATGAAACCACCACTCAACCATCAGACTCTATGGGCCCATCACAAGCTGTGGAAGTAGGGTTAATGAGTGGTACATCACAGTTGGATATTAAGAAAGATCAATAACTCCAAAGTCATAATTAATGGGGTCATGTACTTGCAGGAGTAGGTAAGATATGTGTCTAAAATCCACTCGGAGATTGTGATGTATCTAGACAAGTTGAGGTGGTCTGTACTACACTCTGAAAACAACCCTGCCTCACTTCTCAGTGTAGAGAGACTGTGTTTTAACACCTACTTTCAGGTCCCAATTAGTGAGGATTTGACATGGTCCACAACCAAGGCAGCTGGGAGCTGGTGAGTGACAAAGGTCTCCCATATAATGCTTGGAGAAGGCTTGAATGGGTAATGAAAAACACTTTAATATAAGTTTAACATAAAAGCAAATGTACAATGTTTTGACAAGGTTTTGTCATCATCAGAGTTGATGGAATGGGTACAGCTTGGATCAGACTGGAAAACATTATATATAAGTACCATGAGTAGAACTTCAGTAGTCTTGTGAAACATTCCATCTCATAGTGGGCACTGATTAGGCTAGGGCAGATGATCTGAGCACTTTCCATTATCCTAGCCCGATGCAGAATGTAGGGTAAATACACTTTGTGAGGCAACACTAGCTGTCTAGTGGAATCCAAAAGTAGAAGATCAGTGAGGAAGGAATAAGTAAATAAATAATTCCATCTCTTACAGGTGCAGGGTTAATTGAAGAATGGCTGTTGGTGGAAATCTGTATACTGCTCAAGATGAGACAGGCAGATATTAGAGATAGTTAAATGTAAGATGAATGACTCTGGGGTAGTCTGCATGTCAACCCAGAGAAAGTGGGGAAAAGTTGAAGAGAGTAGACTTGAGAGAGCATATAAACATCTGCCATCAGAGGGGCAGATACAATCAGTAATGGAGTAAGGAGAAAGGCCCCAGGAAGAGGGTGTGTCCCAGTTACAAAAGGACAATGACAGGAACCACAAGGAGGAAGTGTGACAAATCCTGAGCAGCCCAGATAGGAAAAGAGCATTTATCCAAAACAGAAATAACACTGAAAACAGAAATTGAAGGAGGGGATATGGGAGAAAAGGAATGACAACTTTTCTCTACCATGGAATATGAGGGAAGAAAAGACCACCCAAGACAAAGAAGAAAGGAAGCATATTAATGAGAAAGTGGGAGGAAACAAGATATGTGTGCAACAGCTATTAAAGGTAAGTTAGAACAGGACTCAGGAGTCCAGGGAGAGCAGATATGTCTGCTAGAAGTTCAATATGGACCCGGGTAAGAGCATGCAAAACTACAATGATGATCCAATCAAGCAAGAAGTAACAGAGAAGCAGTAGATTAGGAAGGAATGAAAGAGGGTAGAAAAGAGGCAGAGAAGAAGGAAATATATTACGTCAGGAAAGGTGCAAGAAATGCTGCCTTAAAACCAGATATAAAAGAGACTTACAGATCATGGGAGAACCCTCCTGTGAAATAGGAGGAATATGTTATAATAGAATAAAGTCAAAGTGAAATGGCAACAAAGGTCAAGGCGATAAGTACATCCTGTACATCAGCACAGGGAAGAGGTAGAAAGGTGACAGGAGTAGGACACAGGGATAGCTACATGACAAAGGAAATGGATTGGACAATACCACATGTATTGATAAAGAGATGTTATATCCTGAGAAAAGAGTAATGTATGAGGGTGAATCAGAAGGGTGGTAAAAAGTTGGGAATGGGAAAACAGGACTGAGACTTGAGGAGGTGGAGTAACAGAAACAAGGCAGAGATATACTGTGAAGGACCACCAAAGAGGTTTCTTTGTCCCTAAACTGAGCAAGGACCTGAGGAGGAGATGGAGAGGAGGACTGAAGGGATAGACAGCCAGGAGATCAGAAAAGAGAAAATTAGCAAAGAGAGATATGACAAGGCCACAAAAGGAGAAGAAACAGTAAGAAAAAATAACAATGGAAGACCAGTGTGTGATGAACCAATCTACAGATAGGACATAGTCATGTCAAGAAGACAGCTCACAACAATGTGTAGTGCCCAGAACCAAGTCTTCTATATGTATATGTAAAGGAGTAAGGAAAGAAGATTAAACTTTAAATACTAAAAGCACATGTAATGGAGTAAGTAGCTACATCTAAACATTGACTGTGGACAACACTGTATGGAAAAAGATATTATATCTAAACCCTATTTTATAATGGTACATGAGGTAATAATTAACCAGACCTAATCATTATAGACAATGTGAATATGAGAAGGAGTAAAAAACTAGGACAAAATATGATCTACAATATGTACCTGCAAAGAAGTAATGAACTATAATAAAATATTATTGTCTATGTGTGACTTGTCAAGGAGTAATGGGTGAGAACTAAACATTATCATCCATGGGTACACATTATACAGTAAAGCTGTGACAAAACATTAATCATTTAAGTGGGCATGTTAAGGAGTAATGAATGAAGTCTTTACATTATAATTAAAGTATTGCAAGTTAAGGAAGAATAAAAAATATCAAAATATTATCTCCTATATGTACATGTTAAGGGTTAATGGAAGAGAACATAGCATGCACGTCTAAGTACACATGATAAAGAGGAACTAGATTAAAGCATCATCTACCATGTGTACATATTTTACACTCTGAAATGTAATCTAAGCCATTATCAGGAGCCTATTGCTCAAAGAACTGGGTTGTTAATAGATCATGTACATCAACTAAGTTATTCATGAAGCAATATTTTGGCTTCTGAGATGTAATAAACAGAATTGAGACCCTAGATCTCAGACTTCCAGTATTCTTTATTCTAAATCCAGATGAAAAATATTATCATCAAATTCTTGAAATAATTTTATATTGTCATTCTAGAAGTCATATCAAGTCAAAGTTACAACAGTAATCAATACCACTAGGCATTACTACAATAATGGAATTATGATGGGTTAGCCCATTTTATAGGTATTAAGACCTTACAGACTAAGTACCTTCTTAGTACCTAACCATACCATGCTTACAATGACATTGTTGTTAATGTTAAGTTTAGACTGTTTAGATTTATGACTTACAACTAAGTTATGCTGTTACAGGCTAAGTCTCTCACAGGTTTAGGTCTATCACAGACGAAATAAAGTAAATATAGATCTAGATCGAGTTTCATTACTTTTATATCTGTGTATGGGAATTACTTTGAATGGTTCATTGCTAAATTGGCACATAAATTGTGTATAAAGCACTTACAAAAGTCTCACATGTTCAACAACAGCATGTGTCCATTATGATGTGATGCATACTTCACTTTGAAAAATTGTCAATCAAATACATTATGAATTAATGTACTTGCTGGTCTACAATATTTCAGAGATTTTCCAAAGTAAGCATACATTTGTAGTAGCCATTCGTCCAATAGTTTTGGGTAGTGAAATTCAGAAGTCAGGTGTTCTTATTTTAACTACTTAAACTTTTGACAGTAACAAATGTAAAAAACAAGTACTATATAATAGCAGTCATGATAACATAACCAATAAAAACTAGCTTCTTCACACAACAGTAACATGGTTCAAACAATATTGTTAAGAGCCCTTAAGCTTGGATGTAATGATTTCTTTAGACAGCTTCTTTTTCACCAAACAGCTTGAAAAACTTTATAGAACAAGAAACATATTACATTTGAGCAAGTTTTGGAAGAAGAATAAAGGGTATTTAAATGTAGCTTTCTCTTTAGTGAGAATAGCCTATTCTGATACTTAATTGAGTTAAGAATGGTTTACATAAATATATTCAAAATCAATAATGGATATACTTTTGTACATGAAGTTCCACCTGACTTCAAATGATAAATAGATTTTTGTCTACAAACGTAAATACCCACATGTTCATGATTAAATATTATTAAATACTGCTGAATACCACAATATAGCTTGCACATAAATTGGTTGAAAATTTTAAGGTAAGCACTGAACAATGCAAGGGAAAGATTAACATTAATACTCTCATAACATATATATTTTAGATTGATCACTCGCAAAACAATAATAAGTAACAATAGAATATTAAAGCCACTTTAAGATCAAACAAATTACTGGAGCATTTATATCCATTAAAGTAACATTAGGTAATAACAGCACTACTAAGTTTTAACATAAAACTATTCTTGCCACATCAAGATATAACGTTTGCAAAATCTAAAACTAAACATAAAAATTCCAGCCATTGCCTTATAGTAACTGAGAAATCTCACTTACCATATCTAATGCCCTTTCTTCACCATCTGACATGTATTCTTCTTCACTAACAATTTCTTCATACCCATCATCATCTTCAACAGGCTCTCCCTCTTGAAGTTCCCCCTCTGACAGATTATAAATGTGTTCTGGAGGGGATTGCTCAGGTGTAAGAACTTCAAAAGCCTCCCCTTCTGTATTAGTTACAGGTGCAACTTGTTCTGTTGATTGTACAGAAGGTTCATTATCATCTTTTGGAGTTCTAGGCCCACTACTCAGTTTCTCTGGTTCTCCAGGGAAAGCAGCATCAGGAGTACGAGGTCGAGGGTGTCTGGAAGGGGAAGGTGGGGGAGAAGAAGGGCGTCTACTTTCTGGTCTATGCTGAGATCCACGACTTTCACGACTAGAATCCCTCGACCTAGAACTTGATCTTCTATCACGCCTAGAATCTCTACCCCTGTCACGATCTCTTCCTCTTTCTTTACTACGTTCTTTTCCCCTTTCTCTATCCCTATCTCGGTCACGGTGACGATCACGACTACTGGATTCTCTACCTCTATCACGGTCTCTGTCTCTACTATATCTGTCTGCAACATCTGGAGAGTGTCTCTCCCAGCTACTGCCTCTTTCTCTGTGATCTTTATCTCTTCGTTTTAATTCTTTTTCAAATCGATGACTCCCTTCACTTTCTCTGTATTCATGTATACGAGAATCCTTTTCCCACTCTAGTTCTGTAACAGGTGGCCTATGTTCATGTTCCACAGGCTGATTGTATAGGGGATGTTCATGTTGAATCTCATGCATGGTAGGATGCTGAGTTTCCCAGGTGGAAGTAGAATTTGCATAAGTTTCTGCTTGGTAAGTTTCTGGAGGCTGAAATGAGTGCTCTTGAGCTGGCCAAGCTTTTGAGTAATTTGCAGCATCATAATGATTGTAAGTGGAAGCTGGTGGTGGAACTGGAGCTGCAGGAGGGACTGCTGCTGATGCTACTGTATGATGCTCAGTGAAAGATGTAGCAACTGGTTCACTGTATTTTATTGTCATGGGCTGTTCTACAGGACAGATTGAAGGAGGAGGAGGCTCACCATACAAGGGAGGTTCCCTAGTAGGCTGAGGAGGTGGAGGTGGTTGTTCTGGTAACACTTCTTGGTGAGGAGCTGGTCGTTCCCAGTTAACAGACGTAACTACTGGTTCTGAACGTTGAGGCTCATAAGTGTCGGCTGTTTTGTTTGCTGAAATATTAGAGATAAAACGTTAGAATTATCGAAAAACAATTTCAATTAACAGCTACTAAATATATCTTTGATAACAAGTGAATGTCTTTCACCTAATTTCAAAATATCAATACAGCTTTAGTCTTCAAACACAAGTGCAAAATATGCCCACATATAAAATAATTTCAAATACTTTCTTTAGATGTCTCATTTCAGATCTTGTATATCTTTAAGGGTCTCATTAATAATTTTATATATCTTTAACCTTTTTCAGGGTAACGAAGTACATTCATTTTTGCAAATGATTTGTCAAACACTGTAAATTAAAAAAAAAGGTTAATATAATCCAACAAGGTATTGTCCTACATAAAAGTATTGTAGTTATTACATAGATACAGTACCAATGTTTGTAATTGTCCCTTCTATCACTTTCTATTAAAGCCAAATTTGAGTAAATACAAAATTTTATATAAAGGCCTTGTATTTATTACACACATACAGTACATGACCAATATCTAAATAGTGTTTGTAATTGTCAGTTCTTTCATTGAATGTCTCAAGTCCATTTAACCTTATCGCTTCAAGTCATGGGTCAAAGGCCATGTCATTGTGTTTGTTGACTTGAATTCAAAATTTTATTGAACTACTATTTTATGAATTTTTCTCAATAAGTTTGGTATCAACTGTAGATTATAACTCAAATTTTAGTATTATACATTATTCAATTTCTTAATTTAAAAATAAATATTAACAAAGCCCTCTTAAACATAGATTTTTGTGTGTCACATGGTATGTTGAATGCAACACTGGTTCAAATTAGATGTTTGTGATGTCAAAGTCTGTAGTTTCGTATGAATTAGGAACTCGAATTACCAATATTAACATGCTAGAATATAAAATAAGAACCTCCTATGTTTTCTATTTGCTGAGATATTGTTCATGTACTGAACCAAACAAAGTGGCCTCGCTCAACTCTCTCCATTTCTAGAAATGGTCCCTTATATACACTTACTTGTGTATATGAGATGTGAATAACCAATCAAAAGCTCAGAATGTCCCCCTAGTGGCTTTCTCAGCCATTTTCATGTGTTAGGATGCCATCTTGTTCTTTTGAAACAAAATTTCAAGAAGGTAAGTTTTGTCTTTTGTCTACCTGAAATTTCATATTTCTT